TTGTTCCAGTGTTTTTACTCATTTAATAAACAGATGAGGAATATAATCGCAGTTTAATGTGTGTGGTCTGTTGCAATTGCCCACAGCTGCTAAAATAATTCTTTTACACTAGGAATTATCCAGAACTGTTATTATACACATGCAGAACTATTATCTTACTTAATAAAACGAAATTGTTTGTATTAATTTTTGTTCCCATATTACATTTCCTTTGAATGTTGATGCAGGATCCATGTTAAATCTGTGTGTAAAAGATGTAAGGGGACATGAGAAAATTTAGTCCATAACTCGCTCACTCTCCAATCCATCCAAATGCACGTTAATGGATTATGGGATAATCATATTAAACAATCCAGCTGTTTTGATAAATCTCAATGCAAGCCTTAATTAAGTGGATGTAATTATGGATTAGGTGGATTTGGGAATTCTAAACTGTTTTTGGCATTTGGAAGTAAGAATCGATTACCTTTAAATATTCTTTTTTTTTTTTTTTTTTTTAAGAAATGTATATGTACTAAAAAAGAGCTGGCGAGGCACAATGACTTAACGAAATGGACGTATTCACTAAACAGTGATTTGTGGTATGTTAGAAATCGACTGGCAGGATGAAGTGGGCATTTTATCCGACTCGAATATTTTATTTTTAATTCTGATGTGATATGTATCCCATTGTACAGCGCTGCGGAATCTGTTGGCGCTTTATAAATAATAATAATATTATATGTAAATCTCGTAGGAGATATATCGGTGTATTAACACATGCTGATATCAGGGGTGAAGAGTTATTAAATATTTCCTTGAAATTTTTATTCAAATGTTCCCAATGTTATAATGTTGTTTCTCTACATAATGATTCGTTTCTTGGCATTTTTTGCTGTTTGTAGAAGTAATTTTAGATCTTAGTATAATATATATATATATATATACATATTTTATGGGAATATTATTGTCATCCTGGTAAAATATTTTATACATAAATAATACTTTTAAAATGATCACCAACAGGTTTACATTTAATTATAGAATAGTCGGTGTAGTCCCGGGTTAAAATTATATTCCTTTAGCAGTGATATGTATTTACTTTCACGGATCTGAATTGTAAAATAAAATAATTTGACGCATTTTTATCTGGTAACAGTATGGTAATTCCGGGGCAACGTTCTAAAGGAAGCGCTATCACCATGGAAACTATGAAATGTTCCCGCTGACTGTTAGGCTCTGTTATCTCACATTTTGCGTCACTCTGTGTTCCAAAATTTTAGTGAATTAACGTTAATGCGCGAACTCTGAAATAAAAGACTATTTTAGAAGAGGATTTGTTTTTTAAAAAATCCACAATTTCACAATAAAATATGTTCCTCATCGCTTTGGTGATGACTGGGTTAAAAGCCCTATATCTCTCACCATGGGAAGGGGAGCTATTGTTCTATTCAGAGCGTATAGAGCTGGAGTGAGGTGATAGGGTGGGGGGTGAGAGGGGTTGGAAGAGGTCGTGCCAGCTGCTATGGGCTAGTTGGGTGATATTAGTGGTGGTCCTTGTCATCAAAGCTCACACCTGTTACAGAGCAGCAATAAAATTAAATGTATCCTCAGAGGTTCTCACACCACAGGATGTTTGTATTGGGAGGTTTGCACACGCTGTCTCCCCAGAAATAGCCCCCCTACCCCATAGTGCATTGTGTAGTGTATTGCAGGGGGGGGAGGTCAGTGTAGTTGTTGCACACAGTGATCTCACTAACCCCCAAGCAGGGACTAGCTCTCCTGGAGCTGATAAATGGCTCTCAGAGTGGGCACACAAACTCTCTGCTACAGTGCAGGACCCTTCCCAAGGCAGGTCACCCCCAAACACCCTGTGATGGGCACCCAGCTCCTACCCTGCTACACCACCTCAAAATGGAACTAAACCCCTCAAGCAGTGTTTAGCATCAGACTTTCCCTGATATACTTAATTTTCCAAACAATTAGAAACGTTGTATGTGTTTGTTATGTATATATAATGCATTGACACATGAAGGGATACAATAATAATTACAATTTGATGTGTAAGAAACATTTGCAGTCTAAAACCTATTTCAATAACTCATTCCTAATTTCACGTTACAGGCAAATATTTCACCTAATATTGTCATTTATTATTATTAGCACTTAGCGCCCATTTATTAATAATTAAAGGCATAGCATGGATTGCATTAACTCTTAGAGTGCCAAAGCAGTGAGGCCAAGCACTCTGTCGATGAAAGGGTTAATGATCCGTTTAATTGGTTTCTAATGTATATTACATGTTTCACTGAAGATTACATGAATCTGTTTATTGCATACCTATCGCTAGCCTCCTTTGTGGAACAGCAGATGGATGGTGTGTACAAATTGCAGATCTGAAACTAAACCTGCTTAGAAAGCCAGTTACAATGTGTCAGGGATTAAACCATTGCAGATTGCAATCACATTGACAGAGAGAGGGCACTGCAACCAGATCAATTAAATAAATAGACTTTATACAGAGGGCCATGAATACACCTTACACAGGGATCAGTTAAGGTCCCTCCATTGTTTGCTTTGGGGTCAGACAAACTCTAAAAGCGATATTTACTAAATCCCAGACCTGACCTATCTCTCCTCCAATGTCATTCTAACCATCCAAATTTAAATAGCTATGTCCCATAGTGTGAAAACCTACAGAAGCACTGAGAGATCTCATTGTAATGTTTAATAAAACACTTTCAAAGTACAATCTATAATGAATCAATCAATTATATATATATTCTCAGAGATACGCATTTTTATGTAAAAATGTGTATGATTTTTTTATCATCTTCTATAATGTTTGTGTAAAACAGCTTACCCACACACAAAAAAATTCATGTGTTGTTTTTTTACGTAAGAAAATAATTGTGTATGAGATAGGGCTCCCTATAACAGAAAATAATAAATATATCTGTGTGTCTGTGTGCATTATATATCTGCGTATGTGAAATGTAACTGTAATATATACGTACAATATAAATATGTAAAGATATATGTAAATACATGAACTGTATGTACTTATATATCGTGTATATTAATGTATAGAATAGTCTACATATAAAAACTATAATTGTGTATATATATATATTATGTGTATCTCTTACGTGTGATATTATATATATAGATAAAATATGTATGTGTATATATAATTTATATGTATAGAATAGTGTGTGTGTGTGTATATATATATATAATGTTTTTTTAATTTTATTTTTACATCTACATCCCTGGTCTAATACGGGTACAATGTCTCTGTCTCTGTCTCTCTCTCTCTCTATATATATATATATATCTATAAAATAAAAATATTACACCTAATACATACTTATTTGTAAAATAAGTATGTTTTAGGTGTAATATTATATATATATATATATATATATATATATATATATATACATATAAAATAAAATTTGTGTGTATGTATGTGTGTGTATATATATATGTATTAGGTGTAATATTCTATATAAAATATCTGTGTGTATGTGTGTACATATATATATATAAATATAAAGTATGTATTAGGTGTAATAATCTATATAAAATGTGTGTGTGTGTGTGTGTTTATATATATATATATATATATATATATAAAAGTATGTTTTATATTTTCTATTAAATATCTGTGTGTGTGTATATATATATATGTATGTATTAGGTGTAATATTCTATATGAAATGTGTGTGTGTACATAAAAATATAAAGTATGTATTAGGTGTAATATTCTCTCTATATATGTATAATAAAATATATCTGTGTGTGTGTGTAACCCCCATGCCATTGGCTGCAGATGTCCCCCAGTTGTTAGTGCATCTGCTTTAAACTCTGCTTGGATACAATTAAGTACATTATGCGTTTGAGCCTGGAGTATTGTCCTGAGAGCTCTCTCCAGACTGGGGTCCATATACATCTGTTCGTCAATCAAGGGATCCTATCTACTCTCTAAACACGAAGAATTCGCTGTAATTATACGAGTGGTGTCCTGAAATTTTCTCTATTTGTTTTTTTTTTTGCAGCTAATATGCATTTTCTAATCAATAAGATTTTAATAAGTAGATCTTGATTTGCCTGTTTGACGTGAGATGTGTAATATTGAGTTAATACTGACCACAGCTCGGTGTGAAGTCCAGACAGAACATCTTCTCCTGAAAATGAGCACATTTTATTCAATAATTCGTTATAACAGATTGGGATTAATCTCACAAAGTGCAGTTTGTGTCAGTTTGCAGAGTGTAGCCGTTGTGTCACTGTAACAGTTTGCGTGTTGTTACTGTGTTGATTTGGAAGCAGAGGAATTAATTGGACATAACATAAATAATTGTAATTTTGAAACATTTTAACATTGCTACAAATTCCAGCGCATTGTGATCTGTTGTAAAAATCTGACCTAGAATGTTTGTTCTATGTGTGTTATATATAAATATACATTTTATTATTTCAGAATACGTGTATAAATATATTTAAACACTAAACATTCCATCGAACTAATCGGGAATAAGTCTGAATTTTTTTTTAATTTATTTATTTTTTAAATCTAAAAATATTTATTTAATTTGCTCTAAAGGACAGACCGTAAATCAAATTAGAAAATAATAATCCCACAATTCACAGAAAAAAACAACCAAACAAAACAATTTAATTTCTACAAAAGTAACAGAGAGACAGAGACAGAAAGCATGAAATATCCCCCCCCCCAGTCTGTAAATCAACATAAACAATCGGTTACTAGTAGCCTTACCCTTATTAGAATAAATCCGCTTTAACCTCTTCCTTGCCAGCGGGGCTGACTCTCTAAACCTGGCTGAGTTAACACTCTATGTGTGTTTATTTCATACATGGATGTAGCAAAATTGAGAGAGGAAAAGAGATCACAAAAAGGCAAATAGAAAATATAGAATTAATAGAAATAAAAAAGTTGAAATAGTTCTAATTACACCTGAAGATAATTTAATCTGTGAAGCCCAGGCAGAGTGTTACAATGTGTCTCTTTAGATGTGGCTGAAACGTTGGGGAAGAGCTGACCCAGGGTAAAGGGTGCTGACGTCATGCCCATGTGACAGGGAGGGGGTATATAAAGTGAGGGAGGAGGTGGAGAGCTGTAGTAACACATTGAGCTTGCTGTGAGGAGCTGCTGCTGTTGGGTTTTTCTCTTGGCCCCCCTAACAATCCCCCCCTTTACCCCACAGGTGGAGAATTGCACCTGGAATGGGGGAAGGGTGCAGAAGAAGGGATGAAGCTGGCACAGATTGTTCCTGGTGAATATTGATACAATTTGTTCCATTTCTCTAGAAAGTGGAAGAAGTCGTTTTTCACCTCTTGAGCTCAGCCTGTGCTGTGGGAGAGGGAGCCCATTCAGCCTTGCTCCACTAGGGGGGTCCTGGAGTTTTGGATTGGGGAGTAGCAGGGGGACTTCCTGCTCTCATTACAATGACTCTGGGAACCGACATGTCTGATAACTCCATGCTTTCTGAAGACACCGACATTGACGTGGTCGGTGATCTGAGCAGCGTGAAGGATGGTAAATACTCCGACTATAACTCTGACAACGATTCGGACGATCATGCCTCCAGGAACCTGCGAGGGGACGCTGCGTCCCCAGATCTGTCCTCGGGCTCAGATTCCCACCAGAGAGAGGGCGAGAAGAACCCCAAAAACACGCTGGTGAAGCCCCCTTATTCTTACATTGCCCTGATCACAATGGCCATCCTGCAGAGCCCCAAAAAGAGGCTGACCCTCAGCGAGATCTGTGAATTCATCAGCAACCGCTTCCCCTATTACAGGGAGAAGTTCCCAGCCTGGCAGAACTCCATCAGACACAACCTCTCCCTCAATGACTGCTTTGTCAAGATCCCCAGGGAGCCAGGCAACCCTGGCAAGGGCAACTACTGGACCCTGGACCCTGAGTCTGCAGACATGTTCGACAATGGGAGCTTCCTCAGGAGAAGGAAGAGGTTCAAGAGACAGCAGAGTGCTGAGATCCTGAGGGACCCCAGCAGCTTCATGCCAGCTTTTGGATATGGACCTTATGGCTACAACTATGGACTCCAGATGCAGAGCTATCATCCGCATCATGGGAACCCCTTCTCCTCTTTCCCAGCACCCCCTTGCCCCATCCCAGCCACAGCCACTGTGTTCTCCAGCCCAGCCCCAGGTATACCCCCTTACCTTGGCAATGAACTGACCAGGAAGTCCTTCTACTCTCACCTCAGCCCCCCTATACCTTTGCTACAGTCCTTAAAGACAGATGGACAGAGTCGACCTTCCTTTTCAATAGACAATATCATAGGAGGGTCTGCCCCATCCAATAGCCCCACTTCACCCTACACAACCCAGTCAGGGGGACAGCCATCAGTCATTGCAATGTTAACCCCTTCACTGACTCCCATGCAGAACCATTTAAACCTGGCCCATGAAAACCTCTTGCAATCCGGACAGAACTTTTCCAGTAAAATAGCAAATCTTAACAGCTGTCATTTTTAAACAATACAAAAAAAAAAAAAAAAATGTGAAAATATCTCAACCTGTGTATTTAAGGTAGGAATTAATTTTAATATGGAACTTTTGACGTCACCAACAAACCCTCCTGTTCTCCCTCTCCCAATTCTGTTTTTATTTATGAAAATATGTAAATATTGCTAGCTGTATAACTTCTTATTTTTATTTTATTTTCTTCTCACTTTTAGATAAATTTATAGGGTCGTTGAACCTCTGTTTTTAAATTAATTTTCAATAGTTTTTACTATGAAAGTAACTTAATGGAGAGGAGACTGTACGATAAACGCTTGTTAACTCTTAAACTAAAAGTGGCATTTATATAAATATTTTTTTTCACCACCCTGGTGTTTAAAATGTTAAATCCACTGCATCTAACGTACTTTAAATCCACTCTGTTCTGTGCTTAAAACTCCCTCTCTTAAACTGTCATGAGTGGAAAAGCACTTATAAAATCGATCTGTTACCAAACACGAATATTAAACTTCGGATTCTAAAATCGAATTTTAAAGGGCTTCATTTTCCTTTAATTGCTACAGATAAGATAAGTAGCCCTCCAGTCTCTTAGTTCTCTATAAATGTCCAAACCCTTATAATTTTATTTTAACCCTATATGGTGAAATGTGTATGTAATTATATGTATATAATGACAGGGAGGGCGTGTGGTATATCCTCTCCCCTTATCACATCATCCTGTGTAATGTAAATATTTAGTTTATTATTTTTGTGTTTAAATTTTATTGATTTTTGGATGTGTGAATAATTGGTCTATGAGGGGGAATAAAACACAATTGTCCAGCCTTTGGGGAAAAAAATAAATAAATGTTTGAAATCTAAAATATGTCCAGTCTATTTTTTTTTTGGGGTGGGGTGGTGGGATAAATTTTAAACGAATTTAAAAATATTTTTGTATTTTTAAACTTTACTTTTGAATGTTCTCTCCCTCCGCTGCAATCTTCTGTCTGTATGTGCCAGGATCACAGGCCCACTCTGTAAATTGATAGCCAATAAATTAGTGCTGATTAGTATTGCAGGTCTCTGCTAACACGCTAACGAAACTAATTCGGCCGTTTGTGAAGGGGAAAGTGAAGCTTGTATTTGGACACTTTTGATTGCGTTTAATGTAATTTTTATGATTTTTTTTTCGAACATTTTTAAAATGAAGTGCCCCCTAGTTAAAGATAATTAATTGTGTGGTTCTATTTATGACTGGTTACATTTTTAAGTGAGTGTTTAAGAATAACAGTGTGTGTTTTTAAGGAGCTCTATTAGACAGTCACATACATATACACACTTGTGTATTCTGTATATTACACTTTTTTTTTGTTTTGGGCAATCATTTTTAATCATCCCCAGACATTCCATATATTTTGTATAAAATACGGCAATACTGCTACATTGTTACAAACCGAATGAAATTGTTACTTGATAAATCTCCCCCCATCCTCCCCCATTCCCTTTCAGCACCATGAATGAGCATGATGGGAGTTGAAGGCCAATAGCAGTAGGTGGTGGTAGTTGTCTGCAGGGCTGGGGAGGGGGGTCTCCCAGCTCCAGACACATTTGGTTTTGAAAAGCATGATCTCCTGAAGTCTCTGGTGTCTAGTCTTCCACAAAGGCCTAGCAGATTTCACATGGGCTAACTCAGAGGAGGCCAGGCTAGCTCAGAGGAGGCCAATGCACTCATTTTACATTTTGTTGCAGTGCTTTCTAAAGCCCCCATTGTGTGCAGGCTGCAGAGTCTCTGTGCTGGGGGTCTCAATTATGGAATCTTGGTTTTGAAGGTGTTAAAAGCTGCTAGTAATAGTTCACACATTGTTGCAAAATGTAGAAACTTAACCCTCTAATAGCTGCGAGGGATTTTCCAATGATCACTATAAAAATAAATATCCCCTCCCCCTCATTTTATTTTTTTATTGTATTTTTTTTTTCTGGAGAAAAACACTGCTCAGTGCCCCCTCCCTTTCTGTAACCGATGATCTTTGATCTTTTCACACGAACAAACCTCCACTTTCTTGTTTTGCCTTCTGTCTTTGGACTTGGCTGGTGTTATTTAAATCTATCAGTCCATGATTGTAAATACAGCAAACTTGTAACATTGTGGCAGAGGCTCATTCAATTCTGCAAAAATAGAACTATTGGTTTTTAGTTTAAACAGACAGGAACTGTCTCGTTTTGCTGGAATGGTTAGACAGTGAATTAAACTCTGAATTTCTAAAATCAAACTTAAACAGCCAAGATGGAATTGTAGAATGAATATATAATATATATTTTTTAAATATTTGTTTTTAAGTTACATTTTGCCCCATTCTGTATTAATTTCTAATACACTCACTGTTAATGTTTATTAGAGGTTTTAACACTTCACTTGTAAATGTTAACTTACCTTAGTCTACAATACACACTGATCTGACTTGGTTCAGGTAAAGATCTTAATAGATAGCATTATGTGCTGCAGTTAGTTACATTATAATGTTACAAAGGGTTTAATCACCAGCAGTTTAAGAAAAACATGTTAATCTTACTCAGGGCCGGTATATTTACTTTCGTTTTACACATTTGTCACAAGCAACACGATGGCAAATTGGGGTATAGCTCAGTGGTGGAGCATTTCACTGCAGATCAAAATGTCTCAGATTCAAATCCTGGTGCCCCCTTTAAAATTCATGAATGTTAACTTATTTTCAGAATCCTGACTTGACTATCTCTGGCTCCTCAAGTGGAAAATTGGATTTTAAGAAAATATATTTTTTTTCTTCGAAATGTTTATGAAAACAAAATACCATGCAGTTCCTTTTTAAAAGTAACAGATTTATCATTTAAATACATAAAGGGAATCAACACAGTAAAGGAGGAGACTATATTTAAAAGAAAAACTACAACAACAAGAGGTCATAGTCTTACATTTAAAAATTATTTCAGGAATTATTACTTTACTGAGAGGGTAGTGGATGCATGGAATAGCCTTCCAGCTGAAGTGGTAGAGGTTAAGCATGCGTGGGAAAGGCATAAGGCTACCCTAACTATAAGATAAGGCCAGGGACTAATGAAAGTATTTAGAAAACTGGGCAGACTAGATGGGCCGAATGGTTCTTATCAGCCGTCACATTCTTTTCATCTACATTTTGAAATATGAAAATGTGATCTGTCACAAGGTATCTATATTGCCCACAGTATTTGGGGCTTTGTATGTAAATATTTAGCTGTATGGTTGTTTATTTTATGTATTTTTTATTTTTGTGACAATTGTGCATTTTTACATTTTTCACTCACTTTTTTTTTTTTTTTACACAAGTTGTCTGAATTATTTAAATCCGCTTATTTTTTCTATGCGAGTCGTGTTGCAGATTTAAAAAAAATAAATAAAACACATTCAACCCCAAACCATTTTCTACCATCTCATACACCGCTGAGGGAGTACAGGACGATTTAAACCCGCATTAACCCTTTCCCCTTACTCAGGCTAGGCTGCTATTTATTGTGTGTGGGGGGGTAGCGTTTAACACCAGGCTGCAGGTCGAATGCCCAGCAGATAATTATACTGCACATTGTATTTAATCTCCCTTTTTTCACGATCTGTTTCTGCCACTTTATCAATGTGTCCTGTGTATTCCCCCCCTCCTCCCCACCCCCATACTATTTCCATGATTTAAGAATTTACCTTCTCATTGCTACACCTCCAATTATTAAGAAATGTATCCATAAAGTATCTGAATTAATGTAACGAGGAGCGGTTTCATTTTGGAAGAGCTACAAACGTTCCTTTAATTCGAATGTTATCCTTTATTTAATACAAATACTGCTAATTAAAATGTTGAATTAAATTTAACAGCTGGACGACTTTCTACTTGTACAAAGCTGTATTGTAAATTAGAAATCGCTTTATTTTATGTTCTAATAAACGTTTTGTAGTTAGATTATTATTAATATCATTTTACTTATTAGAAGTGTATCAAACTCCTCGTCGAATGACACGTTTAGAATTTGGGTGAACACCTTCACAGTGTACGTTTGAGTCTAAATAATGGTTCCTGAGTGAAAGGATTGGATTTATTAATGTAAGTTCCAATAAAATGCCTGGATGAGAGGCTGGGCATTAATAGCAATTTCACCTTTACTGTGTCTTAATCGTTAAGGAAACTAAACGGTTTAATATCAGAATATATCCTGCTCCAGGCACACATGGGGTTAATACACCATCCATAGGACCTGTGTTCTGTCTGTCTTGTCTTTAGTTGGAATTGTATTTATTTCATTGTAACCCGCGTTCATTAGGCCCAACAGAGAAACCGCCTTGTTAATAATTATTTTTATTAGATATAATGTGTGTAATCTCGGCAGGGGAGATCCATTAATAACCTACAAAACTCGATGCCAAAATAGCTGGCATTTCAGAACTGTTCGCAATGTATTACAGTTCGTTATGCTAAAAGCGATTCTTTGCATAACCTTTATATATTTTTTAAAATAACCCTTTTACACCTCCCAGTTTATTCCAGGTAACTTCTATATATATTGTTGTTTTTTTTAATTCTTAGAGACCTGCTCCCAGACGGTTTAAATTAAGAATTTCATTTGTAGCAAAATAATTTGCGAAGCATACAATTTAAAAAAAATATATATATATTTTTGTTTAAATTCCAAGCAGTGTATAAATTTCGTAATATATATTTTTGTTTAAATTCCAAGCAGTGTATAAATTTCGTAATATATATATATATATATATATTTTTAATTAACGCTGAATGTTCTACGATTAGAGAGGCATTTGGTCCAAAATAGGCAATGATAGTTCTAATTAAAAGATTTCTGCGATTTCGTTCAGTTTAGTATTTGACATAGTGATAAGTGGCTTTGACATCTCATGTGCCTGAGGAATACATTTCTTGTGACTCTCAGCCAGCCTGGGCATCATGGGACATGCAGTCTGTGACTTGGGTGCGGTTTAGCCATGGCTGATTTAAGCTGATGCATGCTGTAAGTATAGTGGTATTGAGTAGAGACACAGTTTGCATAATGTCCTGCATTACTGTCGCATTTTGTCACTTTGCAGACAGCAAGCAGCACCTGAGCCAGCTCTGTGCTTTTGTCAATGAATACATATCTACCCCCCAATTCCCCCACCATCTGTCATCTAATATGACCCCACAATCTAAAAAACTCCAATAATCCAGTCATTCCTGCTCAGACACTATCTGCTCTCTGTATTACAAGGGCTGAGATTAAATGGCTCAACGGCAATCTGTGAATATGTGGACACACCTAAGGCCTCAATAGATGCTTATAATATACACCTAGAATCCAGCCTGCACTGAGCCTGGTCTATTCTCAAATCCACTCAGTTTACTTTTTTATTGCATGAAATATCTTTAATTCATAATTTACTAAAAATAAAATTATTGTGGTTTTTAAATCCAAATGGCAACATTTATGCTAAAATATCCTATCTGTGTATTTAGCTGGGAAGGAGAAATATTCCAGATCTATTTCACAAACCATTTCTCATCATTCTTTTTGATCATTACGTATTTATATTTTATTAAAATTCATGGATTAAAGAACTCGTAGATAAATAAAAATACAAACAAAGTCCGACGTTTGGATGTCACACGGAGAGTAACGTTTCACTGCAGACCGAAACGTTGACCGAATGTTTTCTATCGTAAAATAATGTAGCTTTTTATTTTCTGCACCCACCTGTGAACAACCCTTTTTTGTATAAATATTTCTGAACAGAGCAGGAATTTTATTTATAATTAATAATAGACACTACCTTCCCTGTTCTAGGTGTAAATCCTAAATTCAGGGGCCAGCACCCCACATTTCACTAGTATAATTA